GTGTGTGTGTGTATATCTGTGTGTGTGTGTCTCTGTGTGTGTGTGTGTGTGTGTGTGTGTGTGTGTGTGTGTGTGACACTTGTTTTCAACTCCTGGTGGGTTCCATAACCTGAGATTCCACTCACGTCATGGGGACTGGTTTTACGTGGTGGGGCCCGAACACCGGACCCCACTGGTCCAAGCTTAATAATCAATGGGTAATGCTTTTCTAACGGTCCTTATGCAGTCTCTGTAAAAATATGGAAAGGACCCCTGGAGGTTTACTTTCCTGAAAAAAGTGTGTTATGTGTCGGAACCCTGGTGGTGGGTTGCGGGATATCAAGGAGGGGCACACTGGGGCAATTTCAGTCCAGCAGGCTGGAGCCAATCATGGAGCAGCACAACAGAGGAAATCAGGTGTCAGGCTAGAAAAAGGTGCAAGTGTGTGGTTCATTAGGCTGCAAGAAATCATGGAGGAGCACACTGAAGCGCACGCTTACAAACCACTGGTAAGTGCTGACTACAAGTCATGACTTCAAATTGTTATATAGAATTATTACAAATTATTTGTTGTTTGTGCAGCTTAGTCAAGAGTCCCTAATTGATGAAGTCGACTCAGATTCTGACGATTTAACTGTCAAGAAGAAACCTGTAAAAAAGTATGGAAAAAGAAAAATCAAAAACACTTTTCTTCAAGACTCGGAAAGTGACGAACCAAAGGCAAATAAGATTGTTATCATGCAGCTGCAAAAGAAGAAAAATGGGGGGCGAGTTTACAGCAAGAGACACTTCTGCCTCTACTGTTCAATGTCCTGCCACAAAATGTCCCGTCATTTGACTAGAAAACATGGAAATGAAAGTGACGTAGCCAGAGCATTGGCTCTACCTGTGAAATCTAAAGCACGTAAACTTCAGTTTGATTTGATCAGGAATAGTGGAAACCGTGAGCACAATTTTGAGGTTTTAAAGGCCGGCATTGGAACTTTAGTCCCAGCTAAACAGCCAAATTCCCCAGTTAAATCCAGTGAGTTTTTGCACTGTATAGACTGTGGGGCATTGCTTAAGCGAAAGTCGCTGTGGAGGCATGTGGCCAGGTGCCGGCTTTCACAGAAAGATGCCCAGGCTAAACCAGGTAGAAGTAGGGTCCAGTCCCTCTGCTCCCTAGCCCAGCCTGTACCGGAGGGCATCAGCAAAAAGCTGTGGTCTTTAATTTCGGCAATGCATCAGGATGAGGTCACGGGTGTTGTCAAAGCAGAAAAGGGGATTCTGAGACTCGGAGAGCACCTGTACTTAAAACACGGGCATGATAAGACAAAGCATGATTACATTAGGCAGAAAATGAGAGAAGTCGGTAGGTTAATTAACGAAGCAAAAACCGCAGGGAAACTGAAAACAATTAAGGATTTCTTTATTCCTTCCAACTTTAACCATGTGATTGATGCAGTCAGGTCTGTGGCTGGATATGATGAGGAAACAAATCAATACAAGACTCCATCCTTGGCCCTCAAACTCGGCCATAGCCTCAGAAAGCTAGCAGATATTCTTGAATGTGACTCAAAAATGGAGCAGTGTGTTGATGAACTATTTATTAAAAACCTCCAACGAAGCCGGCTGCTTTTTGAGAAGAGGTGGGACGTCTGTGTTTCTTCTGCTGCCCTACAGACCCTCCGGCAAGCCAAGTGGAACACTCCGGACCTGCTCCCTCTGACTGAGGACGTTAGAGCCATGCATGCACATATTGAGGTATGTCGACCTGAATATGTGCAAACCCTAATAAGTGAGCCAACGTCTAAGCATTGGTCTAAACTGGCAGTTTTGACTCTTTGTGAGGTCATCATTTTCAATCGAAGAAGGGAAGGTGAGGTTTCAAAGATGCCACTGACAGCCTTTACCTTAAGAAGTAAGACTGGGATCCATTCTGACATTGCTCTGGGACTGTCCCAACTTGAGAAAAAGCTGTGTCAGCATTTTCAACGCATTGAAATTAAAGGGAAAAGAAGTCGGAAAGTGCCGGTTCTTTTGACTCCTGAAATGATTGCTTCGATGGAGGTGCTGGTGGAGAACAGAAGGGCCTGTTCCATCTCTGACCATAACCCATACTTCTTTTCCCGCCCGGGCGCAGACACCCACATCAGGGGATCAGACTCCCTACGGCAGGTAGCCAAAGAATGTGGTGCGGTGCATCCAGAGATGCTATCCTCAACCAAACTTAGAAAGCACATAGCTACTATGTCTACAGTTCTCAATATGAAAGAGAATGAGATGGACATACTTGCCAACTTCCTCGGCCATGACATTCGCATCCACAGGCAATATTACAGACTACCAGAGGGGACACTGGAGCTGGCCAAAATCAGCAAAGTGTTGATGGCCATGGAGCAGGGAAGAGTGACGGAATTCGAAGGAAAGAGCCTCGACCAGATACAAATTGAGCCTGAAGGTAATTCTTGATATTATTAAAATATGTATGATTTTTTTCCCCTAAAGGCCACTTGTATTTTTATTTTCTGTGCGACAGGGAGAGCAGTAGAGATCCTCTCACAAACGGACGGGCTAAAAGAAACTTCAAGCGGAGAACCTTCAACCATTCATCCAGATGCACCCCATGGTAGTGGCAGTGCCCCTTCTGGTAAGTGTACCAGGTGGGGGATTACAGCCAGGCTGCTTGGTCCTCACCCTGGGAGTGTATATTGCTAATATATTTTTATTTCTCTCCCTAGAACGTTAGAGAAAGCCATGGTCTGCATCTGAGGTGAAGGCTGTGGAGAAGACCATGACACCTTTCATACAGACTGGAAAGGTCCCTGGGAAGTCTCACTGCCTGGCCTGCATTAATGCCTCACCAGATGACCTTAGACATCGGACATGGAGTGGCATTAAATTCTATGTCAAAAATAGAATCACTGCAATTCGAAAACAAAATCTAAAATAAAATTCCTTTAAAATAGTTGTTTGGTTTCTATTGACTGTTTTGTATTACTTAAAGTCTTGGTAAAAAAAGATTATGTCTATGGGTCCCATTCTGAACGGCCCTGTCAAAGGGACCCACCAGGTAACAAAAACGTGTATGTGTGTGTGTGTGTGTGTGTGTGTCTCTGTGTGTGTGTCTATCTGTGTGTCTCTGTGTGTGAGTCTTTGTATATCTCTGTGTGTGTATATATCTGTGTGTGTGTATCTCTGTGTCTCTGTGTGTGTGAAAATCTCTGTGTTCCTTGTGTGTCTCTGTGTGTGTGTGTATATCTCTGTGTGTGTGTTTGTGTGTGTCTCTGTGTGTGTGAAAATCTCTGTGTTTCTTGTGTGTCTCTGTGTTCCTTGTGTGTCTCTGTGTGTGTGTGTATATCTCTGTGTGTGTGTGTGTGTGTGTGTCTCTGTGTGTGTGAATATCTCTGTGTTCCTTGTGTGTCTCTGTGTGTGTGAATATCTCTGTGTTCCTTGTGTGTCTCTGTGTGTGTGTATATCTCTGTGTGTGTGTGTGTGTGTGTGTGTGTATATCTGTGTGTGTGTGTGTGTGTGTCTCTGTGTGTGTGAATATCTCTGTGTTCCTTGTGTGTCTCTGTGTGTGTGAATATCTCTGTGTTCAATGTGTGTCTCTGTGTGTGTGTATATCTCTCTGTGTGTGTGTGTGTATATGTATGTGTGTGTGTCTGTGTGTATATCTCTGTGTGTGTGTCTGTATGTATATCTCTGTGTGTGTGTCTGTGTGTGTCTCTGTGTGTGTGTCTGTGTGTATATCTCTGTGTGTGTGTGTGTATATCTCTCTGTGTGTGTGTATATCTCTGTGTGTGTGTCTGTGTGTGTGTCTCTGTGTGTGTGTCTGTGTGTGTGTGTGTGTGTGTGTGTCGCAGGGCGGATGGCAGAGGATGCCGTGTGTCACTAACCACCTAAGTTTCCATCTCTTCAGGAAACGCAGCATTTTTTCTGCGCAGCATCTTAAAGTCAAAGCAAACCTACCTTTTATTGCCACGACGTGAAGAGTCCTGCTGCTGGAAAACTGCAAATGTCACACATATTTCTCAAATGTTGTTACTAATTTCAACATCAAGGACACAGGACGCCTTTAAGACACACACAAAAGCTTGGAAAACTCTACAACAATGACACAAGAGCCTCATGACTTCGTCTCCATCTCAGGTGAGAGAGAAGAGAGAGAGAGGCTTTCAAACTGTCTTTCAAACTATTTAACCATTTCATTTTCTGCAGACATTTTAGCAAAACAACAAATAGACGGCAGAGTTTACAGACAACACGCTCCGAATCTGAAAGAGCCGAGACACAACAGGTCACGGTGTCTGAGAAACTGCCTACGACTCTGTTTCAAGGTAAGACAGAAGGAACACACACTGCAAAAAACGATACAATATGCGGTGATTAATGCTGGATTTGAGTGGTTTTTGCATCAATCCGAGCGAGATTCTCCAACGGGACGAAGCTATTCAGTCTTATCTAAGAAACTGTGGCTATATTTTCTCGTTCCAAAGGGAGATTTTTCTGTATCTTTCTTAAATCAAGATCATTTTGCTTTGTCCCATTGGAGAATCTGGTTCTAACCCTTTAATATCTTCAATTCCCTCAACCTTTGTGAGTCACTGTATTTACTTTAAGCTTGGAACTGAAATACACCTAAAACACAACACAATACAATACCATTTATTCTTGTATAGCCCTAAACCACAACAGCATCATCTCAGAGACTGAACAAAACCATTGAAATCACCAACACAGATCAGAGAATCCACAGTTCAGACACAGACAGAATATCTATGAATAATTATAAACACATGTGTATTGGTCCATAGGCAGAGACCAAAGTCCGTATCTCTTGGTTTCACTTGGTTTTAGACACTTTTACATCAAACTGCATCTCAACATTTGGTAAAGGACTATCATTTAAAAAAGATAAATGTTCTATGTCTTGGAAAAAGACATAGAACATCATATCCATAAAGTCCATCTTATCTTTCTTCAAGGAGTGAGCAAGGGCTAAGGCTCGGTCAGAATGTGCTCAAAAGAATGACATTTTGCTAAATTTGAGAAACTGAATTCATTTCTTTTTGTGGTGATCTGTCTCTTGCTCTGAAACCTTTCGTTGAATCGCGTAGTTTCACATGCTAGGTTCAAGTACGGAAGTTATCTGAAGTTTCACATGCAGTGAGTAATAAGTTATACAACAGCCTAAGATTTAGATGTCTCTATTTAAAGATCTAGTTAGTATGGGCGGCACGGTGGCTGAGTGGATAGCACTCTCGCCTCTCAGCAAGAAGGTCCTGGGTTTGAATCCCGGTTCGAACCCAGGGCCTTTCTGAATGGAGTTTGCATGTTCTCCCTGTGTCTGCGTAGGTTTCCTTCGGGTGCTCCGGTTTCCCCTACCACTAAAAATATGTACAATAGGTAAATTGTAAACCGCTTTGAGACTCCGATGTGCAGTGAAAAGGCGGTATATAAATAAAGATTACTAATAAAGATTACTAAAGATCTAGTTTGTGGGTTCTTAAAGACACACAGACATAAAGAAGTTAGATGTTTTATTCAGACTTGCTTCTTCAATATGCTAAAGCTAATCCGGTCAACCCTTATGTTATCTTACATACATGAAACTTAGTAACTTGCATTTGGAGTGAGAAAAAGTTGCAGCTATCGTGAGAATAAATGGTAAATTCTCAGCTGCACTTTTTTTTAGTATATCCCAGATCCATGATATTAAAAAAAACTAAGAAGACTTTACAACTTAAAGCTACACTGTGTCGTTTTTAGCGTTGAGATCATGTTTAGTAATTCACGGGACTACGGTGGCTCTGCAGGACAATACTAGGGTTTTGACAGTGGTCCCCAAGTCCTGCTAAATTCTAAGTTAAATTCTAAGTTAAATTCTAAGTTAAATTCTAAGTTAAATTCTAAGTTAAATTCTAAGTTAAATTCTAAGCCTACGACAAGAATTTTAAAAAATGGTGGCGGTAAATATTCTTAAAAATATCACATTTTTTCAAATGTTGTTTCATTTGGAGCAACTGTAAAAATAGTACCTTTAAATCATGCTAGTCCCAGTCCCAGTACCGTGACATGTGCACGATTCATAATCAGTTATTATTATTATTATCATTATTATTATTATTATTATTATGTCTTTTGTTACGAGTAGAATTTTCAATGACCACCGAGCTATTTATATAACACTGTGAAAACACACACAGGAAATCAGGCTTTGGTGAATGTGTTTGTGCAGAAACGCAGCGACATGGAGCAGAGAGGAGCTACATCAGACCTGAAGCCGAGCCCCTTCTCCTCCCTCCCCCCCCTCTCCCCCCTCTCCCCCCTCTCCCCCCTCTCCCCCCCCTCCCCCTCCTCCTCAGACGGGGGCCTGAGGGAGATCACCACCTCCTGGTTCATACAGACCCAGGCCTCACGCATCACCTCCAGCGGACTCTTCCCAAACTGGTTCTTTGGCTTCGTCTCCAGGAAGTAAGAAAAGATTCACACGTGTTTATGTGTTGATTTGTTAAATAGATTTTATTGGCGTAACATTTATAAATTCAGCAGTAGAGACATGTATGGACATTTAGGGAGATTTATCAACATTTAGACCCACAAAAGTCAAATACATGGTTTAGATACGGAGGTATTTGGAAGCTCAAACATTTAGTTTTGTAATTATGCATTTTATCATTATTTTAAGATGGAGAGTTTTATGGGTTCCTCCGGTTTCCCTTACCACTAAAAATAGGGGAAGAGACATGATAACTTGACTTTTGGGGTTTAGGGATTTTCCCCACAGTTTTCTAAGAATTGCGTTGAGATTAATCATTGACTGCAACTTTAATTAAAACTATACTACAGGGTCATTTCTTCAAAAATGTATGTATTCTTATAATCATTAAATATGTTAGTTGCAGAGGGCACCTTTTAAGGGAGGAATTTTACTTTTACTTCACAGACAATAGGTCTAGCATGCGCCTCCTGTTCGGCGACCCCGCTCCCATCTCTGTGTGGAGTTAGAGACAAGTGCCCAAAATATAACAATTGTAAAGCGCTTTGTGACTCTGGTCTGTGAAAGGCGGTGTATAAATAAAGATTACTCAATTACTTATGTCCTCCTACAGAAACCTTCACCCTACAGATCATATTACTGGTGGTGGTTAAGCCAAAACTGCTTTGCTTAGCATCCAAGTAGCACCGAGTCAAGACCACTCCCCCTCCTGCCCTCCACAAACCCAACCCCCGGCACATGAACGCCCTTTCTGTAATAACACAGTCTGTGCCTGAAATGTCAAAGCATTCCAATCTGTGACTATCTAAATATCATTGCTTGCTAATTAATATTGACACTGTTTCATGGAGTTTCAAACATGCTAACACGTGTACTTTAAAACTGCCTTCAGAGGCGTCCACGTGCAGGGAATAGATATGCAGTACTATCTCACACGTTGGACTATGGTCTGTGAATAAGCCTCATGTTCATGCCATTCTAGGCCTACGTGTTCTTTACATTGAAGCCATACGGTTCCTTCTGCTGTCATGTTTCCAAAGTCTATGTGTTTACGTCATCTTAAGGCCTATATAAGCGCCATCCTTCTCTGTGACAATCAGACTTAAGCAGAGTTGTAGACACTTCCATAGAGTTCGTAGACTCTTGCTAGACTTCTGCAGGAGCGCCCATGGACCAGACTTTGGAGCGCCCATAGACCAGACTTTGGAGTGCCCATGGACCAGACTTTGGAGCGCCCATAGACCAGACTTTGGAGCGCCCATGGACCAGACTTTGGAGCGCCCATGGACCAGACTTTGGAGCGCCCATGGACAAGACTTTGGAGCGCCCATGGACCAGACTTCTGCAGGAGCGCCCATGGACCAGACTTTGGAGCGCCCATGGACCAGACTTTGGAGCGCCCATGGACCAGACTTTGGAGCGCCCATGGACAAGACTTTGGAGCGCCCATGGACCAGACTTTGAAGCGCCCATGGACCAGACTTTGGAGCGCCCATAGACCAGACTTTGGAGCGCCCATGGACCAGACTTTGGAGCGCCCATGGACCAGACTTTGGAGCGCCCATGGACCAGACTTTGGAGCGCCGATGGACCAGACTTCTGCAGGAGCGCCCATAGACCAGACTTTGGAGCGCCCATGGACCAGACTTTGGATCGCCCATGGACCAGACTTTGGAGCGCCCATGGACCAGACTTTGGAGCGCCCATGGACCAGACTTCTGCAGGAGCGCCCATAGACCAGACTTTGGATCGCCCATGGACCAGACTTTGGAGCGCCCATGGACCAGACTTCTGCAGGAGCGCCCATGGACCAGACTTTCGAGCGCCCATGGACCAGACTTTGGAGCGCCCATGGACCAGACTTTGGAGTGCCCATGGACCAGACTTTGGAGCGCCCATGGACCAGACTCCGGAGCGCCCATGGACCAGACTTTGGAGCGCCCATGGACCAGACTTCTGCAGGAGCGCCCATGGACCAGACTTCTGCAGGAGCGCCCATAGACCAGACTCCGGAGCGCCCATGGACCAGACTTTGGAGCGCCCATAGACCAGACTCCGGAGCGCCCATGGACCAGACTCCGGAGCGCCCATGGACCAGACTTTGGAGCGCCCCAGGACCAGACTCCGGAGCGCCCATGGACCAGACTCCGGAGCGCCCATGGACCAGACTTTGGAGCGCCCATGGACCAGACTTCTGCAGGAGCGCCCATGGACCAGACTTTGGAGCGCCCATGGACCAGACTTTGGAGCGCCCATAGACCAGACTCCGGAGCGCCCATGGACCAGACTCCGGAGCGCCCATGGACCAGACTTTGGAGCGCCCATGGACCAGACTCCGGAGCGCCCATGGACCAGACTCCGGAGCGCCCATGGACCAGACTTTGGAGCGCCCATGGACCAGACTTCTGCAGGAGCGCCCATGGACCAGACTTCTGCAGGAGCGCCCATAGACCAGACTCCGGAGCGCCCATGGATCAGACTTTGGAGCGCCCATGGACCAGACTTTGGAGCGCCCATGGACCAGACTTCTGCAGGAGCGCCCATGGACCAGACTTCTGCAGGAGCGCCCATAGACCAGACTCCGGAGCGCCCATGGACCAGACTTTGGAGCGCCCATAGACCAGACTCCGGAGCGCCCATGGACCAGACTCCGGAGCGCCCATAGACCAGACTCCGGAGCGCCCATGGACCAGACTTTGGAGCGCCCATAGACCAGACTCCGGAGCGCCCATGGACCAGACTTTGGAGCGCCCATGGAGCAGACTTCTGCAGGAGCGCCCATGGACCAGACTTCTGCAGGAGCGCCCATGGACCAGACTTTGGAGCGCCCATGGAGCAGACTTCTGCAGGAGCGCCCATGGACCAGACTTCTGCAGGAGCGCCCATGGACCAGACTTTGGAGCGCCCATAGACCAGACTCCGGAGCGCCCATGGACCAGACTTTGGAGCGCCCATAGACCAGACTCCGGAGCGCCCATGGACCAGACTCCGGAGCGCCCATAGACCAGACTCCGGAGTGCCCATGGACCAGACTCCGGAGCGCCCATAGACCAGACTCCGGAGCGCCCATGGACCAGACTTTGGAGCGCCCATGGACCAGACTTTGGAGCTGTCTGGGACCTTATTAAAACTGCTAATAAATGCCAATTGAACAATGCAACCTTTGATGTCTTCTTGTCTTCTTGTCTAAGCTAATTTTAATTCACAGCTACATTGTGTTTACATTGCATTACACGCTAACCCTGGCCATCTGATGTTCTCTTCTTTGCTACAACAGGGCAAGTGGCAAACGTGAAAACAGCACTTAGGGGGTTTTCGCTTCAGCCATTGTAGGACTCAGACAGGTGCAGTGATGAAAAGCTGGAGGAGGGAGAGGGGGATGAATGCATCTCAATGGTTTCTTTCTATCGGCCCGCTCCAAAATATCTATTATTTCTTCATTTTGAGGCTTCAGGCGTCTGGTCCATTTCTATTTGAAGAGACATGATAACTTTACATTTGGGGTTAAGGGATTTTCCCCACAGTTTTCTAAGAATTGCGTCGAGATGAATCATTGACTGCATCTTTAATTAAAACTATGCTACAGGGTCATTTCTTCAAAAATGTATGTATTCTTATAATCATTAAATATAATGTTTATTGCAGAGTGCACCTTTAAGGGAGGAATTTTACTTTGACACAGGCTAGAAACAGTTTTTCTCTGCAGCAAAGCCCTGGAATTCAAAATCACCCTTGGACTCAGCACTACATGTACCACTGAGCTTTTATTTACTTTAGTATTTGTTTTTTCTATTGTTAGGGACGCGGAGGACAAACTGAAGAGTAAAGAAGTGGGCTGTTTCCTGGTGCGTCTCAGTGACAAAGCTCTGGGATACATTCTCTCCTATAAGTGAGTGGAGCCAGATTCTAAACTGTGTGTTTGTGTTGGACTTCATTTGTTTCTTGGTTCTTTCGATGGTTGTTCAGAGGCAGAGACAATTATCGCCATTTTGTGATCAACCAAACGGCTTCAGGGGAGTTGGCGGTTCTCGGAGACAGTCATCGACACAGCACCGTCTCGGAGCTGATCCAGTTCTTCAGAGAACGACCCATCGAACCGTTTGGGGAATATCTGACTTCCTCCTGTTCTGCGGTGAGTCAGGTCCACATCAGACCAGACTGAGAACCTCAGACCAGACTCTGCTCAATGTACCTGAGACATAGATGTAAATATCACTGACTCTACTCTGGGATGGGTCTGACTCACACTGGTTTATTTGTTTATTTTACAGACTCAGAATGAAGACCTGTACGACACTTTCCAGATTAGTCCAAAAGATAAATCACGGGCAACAGTCAACACTGAGAATAAACTAATGAGAAACCAGGAGTCAGAGCTGGGTCTGACTCCGAACAGGGGCCCGAACCGGCCCTCAGAGGTCAGAGGTCACACACATGTTCTTATTCAGTGTTGATTCAATCACATCATGAAAAACGTGTCCACAGTTACCACCGCTGCCCCAGAGGAGCAGGCTTCCAAAGAACGGCCCTGAGACCCAGGAAAGCGTCTGCTACGCTGTGGTCAGACGTAAAAAGCCTAAAGATGAAGTGAGGGGCCCCTGCAGACCCCTGTCCCTGTGCTCAGTGGCCCTTCAGGACAGTCGCAGTCTCTCTCTGCCTCTGCTCCTGAGCAGCAATGAGGAGCTGATTTACAAGCTCAGTGTGACGGCCCCCAGAGGCAGCCCTGAGGCCTCACACAGCCCTGGGCCCCCCAGCAGAGGCCCCTGTCCAGCCCTCAGAGCAGAGGACAGAGGGGGCCCCAGCCCGACCCTCAGAGCAGAGGACAGAAGGGGCCCCAGTCCGACCCTCAGAGCAGAGGACAGAGGGGGCCCCAGTCCGGCCCTCAGAGCGGAGGACAGAAGGGGCCCCAGTCCGGCCCTCAGAGCGGAGGACAGAGGGGGCCCCAGTCCGGCCCTCAGAGCAGAGGACAGAAGGGGCCCCAGTCCGGCCCTCAGAGCAGAGGACAGAAGGGGCCCCAGTCCGGCCCTCAGAGCGGAGGACAGAAGGGGCCCCAGTCCGGCCCTCAGAGCGGAGGACAGAGGGGTCTATGAAGAGGTCCCAGCGACGCACCGTCTTGCAGCAGACAACACCTATGAACAGATCCCAGAGAACAACCACTACGAGCCTGTGGGGCCCCTCAGGGTCAAACACGGGCCCTCACCCTGGGGGCCAAAGGTACGTCAGAGCTTATGAGCAAGTCTATGTTTATAACAAACAAGTGGAGAAAGACAAATATGGTAAAAGAGTTTGAAAAGATTGTTCTGATTCAGGGACTTAAAGACATATCAGTTTCTAACTCGATTCTTTGTGAAATTCCAGAACGAAAAATGGAAACGTCTTTTTCCTGAAGCCAAAAGGAAATGATAAAAAGTATTGTTGGAGGTGGAGTGTTTTGACACTGTCTGAGCGTGTTCCCAACATGAAGTGTGAATAAATATAATTCTGTAAAAACTAATAAATCTGAAAACTCTACTTTATTTTGTCTCATATCTTTTCTTTAAAAACTGAACTAATACTTTTTCTTAAGAATGGCCCTGAACCTTCACTCGACTCGAACAAGTGCATTATTCTGAAAGATCTGAGCAACACGGCTCCGATAAAGTCTGGGTCTGAGGACAGTAATGATGCAGGACACACTGTTAGGCCCCGTTTATACAGAGACGCTGCGCAGACGTTTCCAGGCTATTAACAGAAACGACCTGGCTCCTAATGCAAATTTCTCAGCGTTCACATGAGGTTGAAAAACGATGTAGTTCTAGCGCCCGGCCAGTAGGGGGCAGAGAAACTTTACAACACGACCCCCAGCCCCGTGCCCAGCCCCCCTCTCGGCAGTGTACTCACTTCCTGTGCCAGACCCTCAGAACGCACCAACATCATTCTGCATTTTAACAGCAGCTGTGAACATGGAAACTGAAACTGAACCTAGAGCTTCGCGTGGTCTCGTTTGGACGAACAAAGGAGTAGAATTATCCTCTGTCCCGCGCTGGAAGCCCACGTAGCTAGTTTGTGCGACCGCCGCCATTGTTGTTTATGTTTGTTCTCCGCTACTGCGCATGTCCAAATGTACGTGCAGGAGCAGCAGGAGGCGGGGGTCAGAGCAGCAGGAGGTGGGGGTCAGAGCAGCAGGAGGTGGGGGTCAGAGCAGCAGGAGGTGGGGGTCAGAGCAGAGGGAGGTGGGGGTCAGAGCAGCAGGAGGTGGGGTCAGAGCAGCAGGAGGTGGGGGTCAGAGCAGCAGGAGGTGGGGGTCAGAGCAGCAGGAGGTGGGGGTCAGAGCAGCAGGAGGTGGGGGTCAGAGCAGAGGGAGGTGGGGGTCAGAGCAGAGGGAGGTGGGGGTCAGAGCAGAGGGAGGTGGGGGTCAGAGCAGAGGGAGGTGGGGGTCAGAGCAGAGGGAGGTGGGGGTCAGAGCAGCAGGAGGTGGGGGTCAGAGCAGAGGGGGATTTCACACCTTTTTCCCTCTCGCGGGTGTGAAAGAGCCCCCGCTGTGCAGCGTTTCTGAGTTGTCCCACTCTGAGGCTGGATCTGAACACTTACGTTTTCACCTGAAACAGTCTCCGTATGAACGGTTGGTAGCAACCGACATCCAACTATACCGTTTTACTGCCACATTGTCTCCGTGTAAACTCAGCCATAGAGAGAAGCAGGTGTCAACAAACAACCAAACAAACAACTGAGCTGCTTCCTCTGGTCGATGTCTGCAGAGTCTGTTTGGTCGGACCATTTTCTCTGCTCTGGTTCAGAGTGAAATTCTGAACTTTAATTCAGAATTCCTCCAGTGGATTTCCTCTTGATCTGTTTGTTCGGACCATCGTCTCTGCTCTGGTCTGGGTCAGTGTAAAACCATAAACACTAAACTGCAGAAACATTTACAGATAGAAAAAAATCAATAAAAATACGTTTTTGTAAAACACAAAAAAGAAGTAAACAATGGACATTTATTAACTTTTATCTACCTCTTATGGACCAATGTGTTTTTTTAAAGTTTGAGTCTTATTGTCAAAAAAGGACGTGGCTCAGAATTTGATACAGAAAGTAAGACTGAGATTCAGAGTTCGAAATCAACAGTATTTAGTCTGACTCCTTTCCGGTCTCCTGAGTCTGGTCTGGGTCTGGTCCAGTCCGCTCTCCTGTCCGGTGACATAAGGAAGACTCCCTTTCTGAAACAACATTTTCATGGCTGTCTATTGTTTTTCTCTTTGACCTCAAGCTAGTTTTAAAACACATCATATGAAACCAAACAATTTCATGAATAAATATAGAATTTCACAATTTGTTGAATGTTGACGCACGGATGACAGAAAATGGAAGTGTGTTGACGTGTGCGTGTGTAAAATCTGCAGCAGTCCAAACTGAAGGTTATGAAGCTGGTGTGTTGCTGGTCGTCCAATCAGCTGCACACGTTCATTAATTCATAAAGATCGTCGATAATATCCGGCTGAGATGAGGAGCAGCTGAAAGTGCTGAGGTGGCGTTTATTTTACATTTGGCCTTGACGCTCGTCCTGCAGCGGCGCCAGGTCTTCATCGTGGTCTTCATCAGGGAAAATGTGCGATCAGCGGCTCAGGAGGCAGGAGAACGATCAGAGAGAAAGCTGCATCAGCAAAAGGTAAAAGTGATAAACAGGATCTGTTTGACACGCACCACCGGGCGTGAGAGGAAAGGTCATTCTCTGGGTTTTCCGAGTCGTTCCCGGTCGATGTGAGAGTCTGAGGACAGTGGGGATGATCCAGGACGTTTATAATAATAATAAAAATGCATTGGTTTTAAACAGACATTTTTTGGACTCTCAAAGACTCTTCTCATGTAATTATTCTTTCTCTCCAGAAACAGTGGTGATAAACTACTGTAGCCACGGCTGCCCTGGGGCACACTGACAGAAGCGAGACAACCAGTCTGTGCCATCGGCCCCTCCCACCACCACCAACCATTCACACACACACACCAGACTCATTCTAATGTGGGGGAAGTGTCTTGCCTAAGGACACAACCACAGTTTGACACTTTACAGCTGCAGCCGCCCCACTGTGGCACCTGCTGTTCCCAGAGTAAGTAAGTAATTTGTGTTTATATTTTTGGGCATTTGTCTCTCTCTCCACACAGAGATGGGAGCGGGGCCAGTACAGGAGGCACAGACCTATTGTACATGTTTTTAGTGGTAGGGGAAACCGGAGCACCCGGAGGAAACCTACGCAGACACAGGGAGAACATGCAAACTCCACTCAGGAAGGCCCTGGTCCGACCGGGATTCAAATCCAGGACCTAGCTTCTTGCTATCCACTGAGCCACCGTGCCGCCTATCACAGTACTGAGGTCTCCCATCACAGTACTGACCAGGCACTGCCCTGCTTAGCTTCAGAGGTCTGACAGGATGTGGTTTTCCCCTGCAGGTACGGCCACCAGTATGGACAAATTTGGTCATTTATGGAGATTGGTCGTCCGCCTCCTATGGACCAATGACTCTTTTTATCTGTTTGTTATTATTTTGTTTCTAAATTTTGTGTTTGAAATTTGACAATAAAAGTGTCTAAAACCAAGTGACAGAGATGCCCCAATGAGGTAGACTTCAGAATCAATAATGAATAAGCAAAAATAATCACTTTTATTAGACACATACATTGGAAACATACAGCCCTTGATTCATTGGTTAAATGTTCATATTCTCAGCCTTTTGTCCTGATAAATATGAGAAGTCCTTATTCTTCCTGGAGTAATTGTTGTGGTGAGGTGCATTCTGGGAGTGTGTCGTGACCAGCACAGACAGGAGGTAGATGGTTCTTCAGATTCTGATGTGGAACGTGCTACAGAGAGACGCCAAAGTGAAGCAGTGAGAAAAACATTTAGTAAACAACACACAGTTAGCGTTAGTCTGGTCTTACCATGTGTAAACTCTTGTCCATGGTCATTTCCTACATGTACGTCTGGTCTTACCATGTGTAAACTCTGGTCCATGGTCATTTCCTACATGTACGTCTGGTCTTACCATGTGTAAACTCTGGTCCATGGTCATCTCCGATGGGTTAACCCTAACCCTACGATGGTATGGTGAGTACGATGGTATGGTGAGTACGATGGTATGGTGAGTACGATGGTGTGGTGAGTACGATGGTATGGTGAGTACGATGGTATGGTGAATACGATGGTGTGGTGAGTACGATGGTATAGTGAGTACGATGGTATGGTGAGTACGATGGTATGGTGAGTACGATGGTATGGTGAGTACGATGGTGTGGTGAGTACGATGGTATGGTGAGTACGATGGTATGGTGAATACGATGGTATGGTGAGTACGATGGTATGGTGAGTACGATGGTGTGGTGAGTACGATGGTGTGGTGAGTACGATGGTGTGGTGAGTACGATGGTATGGTGAGTACGATGGTATGGTGAGTACGATGGTGTGGTGAGTACGATGGTGTGAGTACGATGGTGTGGTGACTACGATGGTATGGTGAGTACGATGGTATGGTGAGTACGATGGTATGGTGAGTACGATGGTGTGGTGAGTACGATGGTGTGGTGAGTACGATGGTGTGGTGAGTACGATGGTGTGGTGAGTACGATGGTATGGTGAGTACGATGGTGTGTGAGTACGATGGTGTGGTGAGTACGATGGTGTGGTGAGTACGATGGTGTGGTGAGTACGATGGTGTGGTGAGTACGATGGTGTGGTGAGTACGATGGTGTGGTGAGTACGATGGTGTGGTGAGTACGATGGTATGGTGAGTACGATGGTATGGTGAGTACGATGGTGTGGTGAGTACGATGGTGATGGTGTGGTGAGTACGATGGTGTGGTGAGTACGATGGTGTGGTGAGTACGATGGTATGGTGAGTACGATGGTGTGGTGAGTACGATGGTGTGGTGAGTACGATGGTGTGGTGAGTACGATGGTGTGGTGAGTACGATGGTATGGTGAGTACGATGGTATGGTGAGTACGATGGTGTGGTGAGTACGATGGTGATGGTGTGGTGAGTACGATGGTGTGGTGAGTACGATGGTGTGGTGAGTACGATGGTATGGTGAGTACGATGGTATGGTGAGTACGATGGTGTGGTGAGTACGATGGTGTGGTGACTACGATGGTATGGTGAGTACGATGGTATGGTGAGTACGATGGTATGGTGAGTACGATGGTGTGGTGAGTACGATGGTGTGGTGAGTACGATGGTATGGTGAGTACGATGGTGTGGTGAGTACGATGGTATGGTGAGTACGATGGTGTGGTGAGTACGATGGTGTGGTGAGTACGATGGTGTGGTGAGTACGATGGTGTGGTGAGTACGATGGTGTGGTGAGTACGATGGTATGGTGAGTACGATGGTATGGTGAGTACGATGGTGTGGTGAGTACGATGGTGATGGTGTGGTGAGTACGATGGTGTGGTGAGTACGATGGTATGGTGAGTACGATGGTATGGTGAGTACGATGGTGTGGTGAGTACGATGGTATGGTGAGTACGATGGTGTGGTGAGTACGATGGTATGGTAAGTACGATGGTATGGTGAGTACGATGGTATGGTGAGTACGATGGTGTGGTGAGTACGATGGTATGGTGAGTACGATGGTATGGTGAGTACGATGGTGTGGTGAGTACGATGGTGTGGTGAGTACGATGGTGTGGTGAGTACGATGGTATGGTGAGTACGATGGTATGGTGAATACGATGGTGTGGTGAGTACGATGGTGATGGTGTGGTGAGTACGATGGTGTGGTGAGTACGATGGTGTGGTGAGTACGATGGTATGGTGAGTACGATGGTGTGGTGAGTACGATGGTGTGGTGAGTACGATGGTATGGTGAGTACGATGGTATGGTGAGTACGATGGTATGGTGAGTACGATGGTATGGTGAGTACGATGGTATGGTGAGTACGATGGTGTGGTGAGTACGATGGTGTGGTGAGTACGATGGTGTGGTGAGTACGATGGTATGGTGAGTACGATGGTATGGTGAGTACGATGGTGTGGTGAGTACGATGGTGTGAGTACGATGGTGTGGTGACTACGATGGTATGGTGAGTACGATGGTATGGTGAGTACGATGGTATGGTGAGTACGATGGTGTGGTGAGTACGATGGTGTGGTGAGTACGATGGTGTGGTGAGTACGATGGTGTGGTGAGTACGATGGTATGGTGAGTACGATGGTGTGGTGAGTACGATGGTATGGTGAGTACGATGGTGTGGTGAGTACGATGGTGTGGTGAGTACGATGGTGTGGTGAGTACGATGGTGTGGTGAGTACGATGGTGTGGTGAGTACGATGGTATGGTGAGTACGATGGTATGGTGAGTACGATGGTGTGGTGAGTACGATGGTGATGGTGTGGTGAGTACGATGGTGTGGTGAGTACGATGGTGTGGTGAGTACGATGGTATGGTGAGTACGATGGTATGGTGAGTACGATGGTGTGGTGAGTACGATGGTATGGTGAGTACAATGGTGTGGTGAGTACGATGGTATGGTGAGTACGATGGTGTGGTGAGTACGATGGTGTGGTGAGTACGATGGTGTGGTGAGTACGATGGTGTGGTGAGTACGATGGTGTGGTGAGTACGATGGTATGGTGAGTACGATGGTATGGTGAGTACGATGGTGTGGTGAGTACGATGGTGATGGTGTGGTGAGTACGATGGTGATGGTGGGTGAGTACGATGGTGTGGTGAGTACGATGGTATGGTGAGTACGATGGTATGGTGAGTACGATGGTGTGGTGAGTACGATGGTATGGTGAGTACGATGGTGTGGTGAGTACGATGGTATGGTAAGTACGATGGTATGGTGAGTACGATGGTATGGTGAGTACGATGGTGTGGTGAGTACGATGGTGTGGTGAGTACGATGGTATGGTGAGTACGATGGTATGGTGAGTACGATGGTGTGGTGAGTACGATGGTGTGAGTACGATGGTGTGGTGAGTACGATGGTGTGGTGAGTACAATGGTGTGGTGACTACGATGGTATGGTGAGTACGATGGTATGGTGAGTACGATGGTATGGTGAGTACGATGGTGTGGTGAGTACGATGGTGTGGTGAGTACGATGGTGTGGTGAGTACGATGGTGTGGTGAGTACGATGGTATGGTGAGTACGATGGTGTGGTGAGTACGATGGTATGGTGAGTACGATGGTGTGGTGAGTACGATGGTGTGGTGAGTACGATGGTGTGGTGAGTACGATGGTGTGGTGAGTACGATGGTGTGGTGAGTACGATGGTATGGTGAGTACGATGGTATGGTGAGTACGATGGTGTGGTGAGTACGATGGTGATGGTGTGGTGAGTACGATGGTGTGGTGAGTACGATGGTGTGGTGAGTACGATGGTATGGTGAGTACGATGGTGTGGTGAGTACGATGGTGTGGTGAGTACGATGGTATGGTGAGTACGATGGTGTGGTGAGTACGATGGTGTGGTGAGTACGATGGTATGGTGAGTACGATGGTATGGTGAGTACGATGGTGTGGTGAGTACGATGGTGTGAGTACGATGGTGTGGTGAGTACGATGGTGTGGTGATTACGATGGTGTGGTGATTACGATGGTGTGGTGAGTACGATGGTGTGGTGAGTACGATGGTGTGGTGAGTACGATGGTATGGTGAGTACGATGGTATGGTGAGTACGATGGTGTGGTGAGTACGATGGTGATGGTGTGGTGAGTACGATGGTGTGGTGAGTACGATGGTATGGTGAGTACGATGGTGTGGTGAGTACGATGGTGTGGTGAGTACGATGGTGTGGTGAGTACGATGGTATGGTGAGTACGATGGTATGGTGAGTACGATGGTGTGGTGAGTACGATGGTATGGTGAGTACGATGGTATGGTGAGTACGATGGTATGGTGAATACGATGGTATGGTGAGTACGATGGTATGGTGAGTACGATGGTGTGGTGAGTACGATGGTGTGATGAGTACGATGGTATGGTGAGTACGATGGTGTGGTGAGTACGATGGTATGGTGAGTATGATGGTATGGTGAGTACGATGGTATGGTGAGTACGATGGTGTGGTGAGTACGATGGTGTGGTGAGTACGATGGTATGGTGAGTACGATGGTATGGTGAGTACGATGGTATGGTGAGTACGATGGTATGGTGAGTACGATGGTATGGTGAGACCAGGTCTTATCCATCCTACACTCCTGTCAATCATCATGTCCTGCCTGTAACGTCTGGGTCTGGTCCCTGTGTCTGTGATTACAATCTGTTGAATTCCATCCGACCAATCAGAGAGGGCGGGAGGCGGGTGTTGTAGTTAGATGTGGGTGACGTCAAGAGTTTGCGTCGAACGGGAAGGTTGTAGTTTGACAAAGAATGTGAAATGTGAAAGTATTCTGCTCTGGTTCTATCAAGAAACTGAAGCAAGAGGAATGTTTAGCAAATGTAATCGCTGCAAAGATTGTGGCGCTACTCCCCACGGGCTCCGTTAGCGGCAAAGGAGATGGCTAAAGCTAGGCTAAATGCTAAATGCTAACGACTCACTCGGGCTCATTACATACGTCACAGTAAACTCAGATCCAGTCGTTTCAATCTGCAAAAGGAGTTAACCCCTCCCACCTGTTCACGGAGTCAATGCAACACCTCCAGACCTTAGTACCAAATGTATTTTGTACTATGGTGTGGTACGACCAGGCTAAGTCCGAGTTCTTTACCTGAGAAAGTCCGGGGCTCTGGAGATCATGTTCTCAAAGTCAGAGTAGGAAAGTTTATTGTCTCCGTCCAGATCCGCCTCCTCGATGGTCTTCTCACACACCAGCGTCACCTCCTCTGGTGTCAGCTCCTCCTTCGTCAGCTTGTTCAGGACCTTCTCCAGGTCTTCTTTGCACAGGAAGTTATCCACGTTGTAATCTGAGGAGAGGCGTCAAGTTTATTGGTATAGCACAGTTCATACACATAAGGAAACTCAAAGTGATGAACAAAACAAGATGGAGACAGTCACATGAAGCACTGACATCATAAATAATTACAATACTTTAAAAAGAGTGAAGATAAAATCCTTCAGTCGTAGCAGAGAAGAAGAAGCCTGTCTCACATTTTCAGAGAGACTGTTCCAGATTATAACGGCCCAAATCTGAAACACTGCCTCCCCATGTTTACTCCTGACTCTGGGACCAGCAGGAGGCCAGTCCCTGTGCTCCTCAGAGTCCCAGCAGGAGGCCAGTCCCTGTGCTCCTCAGAGTCCCAGCAGGAGGCCGGTCCCTGTGCTCCTCAGAGTCCCAGCAGGAGGCCGGTCCCTGTGCTCCTCAGAGTCCCAGCAGGAGGCCAGTCCCTGTGCTCCTCAGAGTCCCAGCAGGAGGCCAGTCCCTGTGCTCCTCAGAGTCCCAGCAGGAGGCCAGTCCCTGTGCTCCTCAGAGTCCCAGCAGGAGGCCAGTCCCTGTGCTCCTCAGAGTCCCAGCAGGAGGCCAGTCCCTGTGCTCCTCAGAGTCCCAGCAGGAGGCCAGTCCCTGTGCTCCTCAGAGTCCCAGCAGGAGGCCGGTCCCTGTGCTTCTCAGAGTCACAGTTGGTTCATATGGCACTAACATGTCACAGGCAAACTGCTTTTCAATTCTAGTCTATTCTGAGCCACAGGAATCAAACGCAGAGACCTGAGAACTGGACTAATGTGATGGTACTTCCTGGTTCTAGTCTAATAATTTTAAAATTATTGCTTCTCTCTCTCTTGACAAGATGACGTTTCTACCCTTTTCTGCAAACTGCATTTGCAGTTTTTGTGATCCGCATTGTTTTCCAAGATGTTGTTGTACATCTTTGCCATGTTTTTGTGGAGTTCAGTGGATTTTTTACTGCCAAAGCTCTTTGCTAGCAATGAACAGAGGATGTGTTTTTAAGTAAACACACAGTTAGCATCTGAGCTAAAGGCTTTTTGAGCAGTATTTAAGACCTACAAATCCAGAGATATCATCTTCTGAAGCGCTGACAGGTCACCGAGGGCCCCACGCATCTGCAGCACAATGGAGGCAGCACAATGGAGGCGTCACAAGAGGCGCTACAGGAGTCCCTACAGGAGTCCCTACAGGAGTCCCTACAGGAGTCCCTACAGGAGTCCTTACAGGAGTCCCTACAGGAGTCCCTACAGGAGTCCCTACAGAAGTCCCTACAGGAGTCCCTACAGGAGTCCCTACAGGAGTCCCTACAGGAGTCCCTACAGGAGTCCTTACAGGAGTCCCTACAGGAGTCCTTACAGGAGTCCCTACAGGAGTCCCTACAGGAGTCCCTACAGGAGTCCCTACAGGAGTCCTTACAGGAGTCCCTACAGGAGTCCTTACAGGAGTCCCTACAGGAGTCCCTACAGGAGTCCCTACAGGAGTCCTTACAGGAGTCCCTACAGGAGTCCTTACAGGAGTCCCTACAGGAGTCCCTACAGGAGTCCTTACAGGAGTCCCTACAGGAGTCCCTACAGGAGTCCCTACAGGAGTCCCGGCCTCCGTTGTGGGCAACTTCTACAGAGGGACTGTAGAGAGCATCCTGACCAGCTCCATCACTGGGTGGCACGGCACCAGCACTGCCTCCTGCCGAAGGAGAGCAGCAGAGCAGATCTGTGGAGCCCCTCTCCACCATTAAGGACATGTACTCCACCGTCTCAGCCGCAAAGCCGTCAGAATCACCAGGGACCCTACGCACCCATCACACAGGCTCTTCAGGGGCCTTCAGGGAGGAGACTGCAGAGTTTACGGAACAGTTCCAGTCGCCTCAAAAACCCCCTCTTCCCCCACCCCCCGCTCCACAATCAAGGATGAGAGAAATATAATTTCAAACCATTCACTTGGTTTGACAAATAAAAATCTTGAAACTTGAAAATCTTGAAATATCACAGTCCCTATAGTATGTGTCTGCATGAGTTGCACAAAAGTCCAGTTTACCGTAGATCTTAAAGGCGTATATAGCTTTAAGTTCCCGCGGAGCCGTTTCGCTGAGCACCGAGAACATGTCCACGAACTCGTCAAAGCTCAGGTTCCCGGCTCCGTCTTCAGAGAACGACTCCACGATCCGGGTCCGGAACGGGTTTTCCTGAAGACAGACAAAAAGCCTCTGAAGTCTTTGAAGGACAGGGATGATTTATGGACAGTGGACGTCCCGCTCTCTGTGGACCAATGGCTCTATGTGTTTGTTATTATTGTATTTCCTGTGTTTCAACTGTTGTTTGAGGAATCGACAACTTTCTAAAGACTGCTGTTGAGATTTAGGGCAATACCCAAATAAATTCACTAAAAAATGTGATGAAAATGAGTCAAATCACTCAAATTTGACAAAAATATATCTCAATTTCAGCACATTCTGACGGAACCTTAAAACTAGATTCTCCAATGGGACAAAAAAAAAAAAAAAGATCTTGTTTTAAAAAGATAAAGAAATATCTAATATATCTTTGTCCCATTGGAGAATCTGGTCAGAATGTGTCAGATTAAGACAAAGACCACTCAAGCTTTTATTACCTCATATTTTATCATTTGTTGCAGTGTAGAATACAAACTGTAAACTCACACTGCTATAATCACTTGTAATTTAATTTTACATAATATATCACAGCTGTATTGGTTCATGAGGAATCAGGAGTGAGAGATGTTGATTTAGCCTGGTCGTACCACACCATAGTACAAAATACATTTCATACTAAGGTCTGGAGGTGCTGCATTGACTCCGTGAACAGGTGGGAGGGGCTAACTCCTTTTGCAGATTGAAACCATTGGATCTGAGTTTACTGTGACCATGGATCTATTATAATAACTGGAAAGGGTATTACTAGCTTGTAGCTGAATAACTCATGTGCTCGGGGGATTCTCGCGGTACTGCAGACTGAACCAGACTGAACCAGACTAAATTTCACGTGGGCTACCCAGAAATGTTCCCCATAGGACTCAATGCATATTAAAACAGCTCGACCTCAGCTGACAGAGAACCTGACAGAGAACCTACAGCTTTCATAAAGGTCAGATTTTGTGGGGATTTTAGTGTCCCTCGTCATCCTGAACTTTTTTTCTTCTTAAATCCTTTGGTTTTGTTCGAATCCACACTTTAGTGCCACAAACTCTGCTCCTCTGGCTCTCGCTCTAAAGCCTGGTTCACACGGCAGGATATTTAGGCCGATTTAGACCCGATTTACCCCTTACGACAATCTTAAGAAACGCTCCGATTTCCGTAACAAAGTCTTACAGAATATCCTGCCGTGTGTGGTGTGTTAAGACTGCACTCGTCGCTCGGAAGGACATCGGGACTGCTCCCGATCTCAAATCGGGGATATCCAACATGTTGGATTGTTTTGGCCCGATTTCTCTTCGTGTGTGGTGTCCCCCGAGGACAGACGTGCGCGTTGCCATGACTGCGGCGTGTAGCCAATCAGAAGACGAGACGAGGCGGTGAGGAAACGCCTCCATATCACGATGTAGCAAGTATAGTCCATGCTCGTGTCGTCTACACTTCTTTGATCATCGCCTTTTCTTTTGATTACGTCTTTTCTCCGATAAAAACAAACTATCGCCAATGCATCCTCTTCGTCCGCCATGTGTGTTTACTCTGAAGTCACGCTTGATCTCGCGAGACCTGAGATTTCCGTCTGATCTGTGAATACTCGCTTCGTGTGTGGTTTGCGTGATTTTTGGCGTGTGGCTGCGCACCACACACTGTACGACCAAAGTGGTTAGACCCGTGATTTTTTATCTCCCTGTGTGGGGTCTCACACAGAGAAAAATCGGCCGACAATTTTTAAATCGTCTCGTGTGAACCAGGCTTTACTCCCGCTCTGATGAACTGCTCTGATTGGTCAGAGCGCGGCCGAGCCCCTCTGTGCACGTGCGTGAGACCCTCTGTGCACGTGCGTGAGACCCGGTGTGAGACCCACACACGCGTGTTTGGCGCAAAGCATTATGGGAGATCATCCACTGCGCAGAACCGGGAGGACCAGACGATGCCCAAATACAGGAGAGTTTCCCATAGTTCTTTGAGAGTTTCCCATAGATCTTTGAGAGTTTCCCATAGATCTTTGAGAGTTTCCCATTGATCTTTGAGAGTTTCCCATAGATCTTTGAGAGTTTCCCAAAGATCTTTGAGAGTTTCCCATTGATCTTTGAGAGTTCCCATAGATCTTTGAGAGTTTCCCATTGATCTTTGAGAGTTTCCCATTGATCTTTGAGAGTTTCCCATAGTTCTTTGAGAGTTTCCCATAGATCTTTGAGAGTTTCCCATAGATCTTTGAGAGTTTCCCATAGATCTTTGAGAGTTTCCCATAGACCTTTGAGAGTTTCCCATAGATCTTTGAGAGTTTCCCATAGATCTTTGAGAGTTTCCCATAGATCTTTGAGAGTTTCCCATAGATCTTTGAGAGTTCCCATAGATCTTTGAGAGTTTCCCATAGATCTTTGAGAGTTCCCATAGATCTTTGAGAGTTTCAGGCAACTTCCGCTAATCTTTCCGCCCCCATGCCGTCACAAAGCGCCACTGAGCACAACCATTCATATGAATAGGGCGCCATCTTGGATCGCCGGGGCTTGACTGTGACGTATGTAATGTGCCCGAGTGAGAGGTTAGCATTTAGCATTTAGCCTAGCTTTAGCCATCTCCTTTGCCGCTAACGGAGCCCGTGGGGAGCAGCGCCACAATTGTTTGCAGCGATTACATTTGTTAAACATTCCTCTTGCTCCGGCTTCAGTTTCTTGATAGAACCAGAGCAGAATACTTTACTATCACATTCTTAACCAAACTACGACCTTCCCGTTCGACGCAAACTCTTGACGTCACCCACAACTAACTACAACACCCGCCTCCCGCGCTCTCTGATTGGTCGGATGGAATTCAACCGATTGTAATCGCAAACACAGGGACCAGACTCAGACGTTACATGCAGGACCTGATGATTGACAGGAGAGTACGGATGGATAAGGCCAGGCTAATGCTGATTGGTTCGTGGGAAAACGTAAAGGGAATTTCCAATGGGACAAAGCAAAAATATCTTGTTTTGAATCTTGGAGAATATTGTTTTATTCGCAGTCAGGATTAACTCAGATTAAGATAAAAACCACTCAATTCAAGCTTTTATTACCTCATATTTTATACATTTTTTGCAGTGTTGAATTGAATACCTATAAATGTGTGTGTGTGAATTTGCACAAACGCCTCTGGTCTGTACCTTGAGCTCGGGCATGTTGACAATCTCTGGTCTGTCTCTGGTCTGTCTCTGGTCTGTCTCTGGCCTGTCTCTGGCCTGTCTCTGGCCTGTCTCTGGCCTGTCTCTGGTCTGTCTCTGGTCTGTCTCTGGTCTGTCTCTGGTCTGTCTCTGGTCTGTCTCTGGTCTGTACCTTGAGCTCGGGCATGTTGACGATCAGAGCCGGGGGGACTTTGCACTCAGGGTTGTTGGTGTAGTCCATTGGAACCAGGTGAGGAGCCAACTCATGGTATCTGCCATGAAGCCTGCACGGAAAAACAGACTCAAGAAGCTGAAGAAATTACGGAAAATAAAAGGATGCGATATGTCATCAGCAAAAACTTACCTGAGGATTTCTTTGCGGGTAAAGAAAGTGCAGTCCTACAAAAAAAGTGAAAAGATTACGACATTAAAAGAATTCAGTCTATTAAACTTCTATTAACCCCATTGGCAAAATGTTATTAGGCAGATACTACAATAGAGTAAAATTATGAATGTAAAAGCCCCAGGTCGGCCTCTAGAGATTAACAGTTTCGGCGTCGAGTCACGAGAGTACCGGATGCTACTGGGAGCACCCGGAGGAAACCTACGCAAACACAGTGAGAACATGCAAACACTACTCAGAAAGGCTCTGTTTCAACCGGGATTCAAACCACTGTGCCGCCCTGTCAGGCCTGTCTCTGGTCTGTCTCTGGCCTGTCTCTGGTCCGTCTCTGACCTGTCTCTGACCTGTCTCTGGTCTGTCTCTGGTCCGTCTCTGACCTGTCTCTGACCTGTCTCTGGTCTGTCTCTGGTCTGTCTCTGGCCTGTCTCTGACCTGTCTCTGACCTGTCTCTGGTCTGTCTCTGGTCTGTCTCTGGTCTGTCTCTGGCCCGTCTCTGGCCCGTCTCTAGCCCGTCTCTGGTCTGTCTCTGGTCTCTCTCTGGCCCGTCTCTAGCCCGTCTCTGGCCCGTCTCTGGTCTGTCTCTGGCCTGTCTCTGGTCTGTCTCTGGCCCGTCTCTAGCCCGTCTCTGGTCTGTCTCTAGCCCGTCTCTGGCCCGTCTCTAGCCCGTCTCTGGTCTGTCTCTAGCCCGTCTCTGGCCCGTCTCTCGCCCGTCTCTGGTCTGTCTCTGGTCTCTCTCTGGTCCGTCTCTAGCCCGTCTCTGGCCCGTCTCTGGTCTGTCTCTGGCCTGTCTCTGGTCTGTCTCTGGCCCGTCTCTAGCCCGTCTCTGGTCTGTCTCTGGTCCGTCTCTGGTCTGTCTCTGGCCCGTCTCTGGTCTGTCTCTAACCCGTCTCTGGCCCGTCTCTGGTCTGTCTCTAACCCGTCTCTGGCCCGTCTCTGGTCTGTCTCTGGCCCGTCTCTAGCCCGTCTCTGGCCTGTCTCTAGCCCGTCTCTGGCCCGTCTCTGGCCTGTCTCTGGTCTGTCTCTGGCCTGTCTCTGGCCCGTCTCTAGCCCGTCTCTGGTCTCTCTCTGGCCCGTCTCTAGCCCGTCTCTGGCCTGTCTCTAGCCCGTCTCTGGCCCGTCTCTGGCCTGTCTCTGGTCTGTCTCTGGCCTGTCTCTGGCCCGTCTCTAGCCCGTCTCTGGTCTGTCTCTGGTCTGTCTCTGGCCCGTCTCTGGCCCGTCTCTGGCCCGTCTCTAGCCCGTCTCTGGTCTCTCTCTGGCCCGTCTCTAGCCCGTCTCTGGCCCGTCTCTGGCCCGTCTCTGGCCCGTCTCTAGCCCGTCTCTGGTCTGTCTCTGGTCCGTCTCTGGTCTGTCTCTGGTCCGTCTCTGGTCTGTCTCTAGCCCGTCTCTGGCCCGTCTCTGGCCCGTCTCTAGCCCGTCTCTGGTCTGTCTCTGGCCCGTCTCTGGTCTGTCTCTAACCCGTCTCTGGCCCGTTTCTGGTCTGTCTCTGGCCCGTCTCTAGCCCGTCTCTGGCCTGTCTCCAGCCCGTCTCTGGCCCGTCTCTGGCCTGTCTCTGGTCTGTCTCTGGTCTGTCTCTGGTCTGTCTCTGGCCCGTCTCTAGCCCGTCTCTGGTCTGTCTCTGGCCCGTCTCTAGCCCGTCTCTGGTCCGTCTCTAGCCCGTCTCTGGCCCGTCTCTAGCCCGTCTCTGGCCTGTCTCTAGCCCGTCTCTGGCCCGTCTCTGGCCTGTCTCTGGTCTGTCTCTGGCCTGTCTCTAGCCCGTCTCTAGCCCGTCTCTGGTCTCTCTCTGGCCCGTCTCTAGCCCGTCTCTGGCCTGTCTCTAGCCCGTCTCTGGCCCGTCTCTGGCCTGTCTCTGGTCTGTCTCTGGCCTGTCTCTGGCCCGTCTCTAGCCCGTCTCTGGTCTGTCTCTGGTCTGTCTCTGGCCCGTCTCTGGCCCGTCTCTGGCCCGTCTCTGGCCCGTCTCTAGCCCGTCTCTGGTCTTTCTCTGGCCCGTCTCTAGCCCGTCTCTGGCCCGTCTCTGGTCTGTCTCTGGCCTGTCTCTGGTCTGTCTCTGGTCTGTCTCTGGCCTGTCTCTGGCCTCTGGTCCGTCTCTGGTCTGTCTCTAACCCGTCTCTGGCCCGTCTCTGGTCTGTCTCTGGCCCGTCTCTAGCCCGTCTCTGGCCTGTCTCCAGCCCGTCTCTGGCCCGTCTCTGGCCTGTCTCTGGTCTGTCTCTGGTCTGTCTCTGGCCCGTCTCTAGCCCGTCTCTGGTCTGTCTCTGGCCCGTCTCTGGTCTGTCTCTCTCTGGCCCGTCTCTGGCCCGTCTCTGGCCTGTCTCTGGCCCGTCTCTGGCCCGTCTCTAGCCCGTCTCTGGTCCGTCTCTAGCCCGTCTCTGGCCCGTCTCTGGTCCGTCTCTGGCCCGTCTCTGGCCCGTCTCTAGCCCGTCTCTGGTCCGTCTCTAGCCCGTCTCTGGCCCGTCTCTGGCCCGTCTCTGGCCCGTCTCTGGCCCGTCTCTGGCCCGTCTCTAGCCCTTCTCTGGTCTGTCTCTGGTCTGTCTCTAGCCCGTCTCTGGCCCGTCTCTGGCCCGTCTCTAGCCCTTCTCTGGTCTGTCTCTGGTCTGTCTCTAGCCCGTCTCTGGCCCGTCTCTGGCCCGTCTCTGGCCCGTCTCTAACCCGTCTCTGGCCTGTCGCTGTTACTTACTTCATTTACATACAGTAGCACATTCTACAAAACAAGTTTTCAAACCCATTTAAATATCCAGGTTTGCCATGAGCCTTATGTTTAAAAAAAAAACAGAAGAAAAACATTATGCACAAAGTAAAAACAACACAAACGTATAATATGTATAAAAATAAAAATGAAAAAACCGTTCTGTGGGGGATTGTTATCGTTTGTTTGAGTCTAAATTCTTTCGGACTTGCTGCTGGAGACGTGGATGTGTCGAGTTACTGAACGGATCCGAGGCCCTGGAGACGGCTCCTTCTTCAGAGCCTCAGGTTTCAGTGTCAGCAAACCGCCCATTAAAAATAAATCTACAAACTCTCTGTGTGCTGCTTTGACAGTACGTTGTGGAATGGCGTCTGTCGTAACAATGTTAATAAAGATAATAATAATTTGGATGGATAAAGCACCCCATGGTTCTGTGTATGAGGGACTTTTACTTGTTAATAAATGGATAGGTTAATGAAAGGGAACCCTATATTCTTTATATATTTATGGGTTTGATGTTTTAGTAAGTCATGACATGTGTCTGTAGAGCGGCATAGTGGAGACTAATAACCCCAGACTCTAACCCAAGAGAGAGATAGAGACAGAGACAGACAGATAGAGACAGACAGAAGAGACAGAGACAGACAGCAGAGACAGAGACAGACAGATAGAGACAGAGACAGACAGATAGAGACAGACAGAAGAGACAGAGACAGACAGATAGAGACAGAGACAGACAGACAGATAGAGACAGAGACAGACAGATAGAGACAGACAGAAGAGACAGAGACAGACAGATAGAGACAGAGACAGACAGACAGATAGAGACAGAGACAGACAGATAGAGACAGAGACAGACAGACAGATAGAGACAGAGACAGACAGATAGAGATAGAGACAGACAGACAGAGACAAGAGAGACAGACATGAGAGACAGAGACAGATAGAGACAGATAGAGACAGAGACAGACAGAGACAGACAGACAGAGACACAGACATGTTGCATATCGCTAAAACAACTCTTGTTTGTGTCTTTCCCTTGGGTCTTATACAGAGACTATAAAAGCATGTACCTGGTAAGCATCCAGCTGCTCATCTGTGAATATGGTTTGCTTGTTCCCCATCCTGGTCCAGCACAGTTCGGTTTGTTTACATCCACATCACAGAATGTCCACAGCCTCCTCTTGTGTGAAGGCATTTAGGAGCCGGGATCAAGGCAGATTAGCATCCACTGGTCTCTGCTGTAAAATCCATGGTGTGGAAGCCCGAAAACATGACCTAAGCTGTGTCTCTGTGGCCTGGTTCCTGGAGCGCCTGGAGGAAAAGTGAGCTCGACCAGCACCGATCAGGTCTTAGAGGGCCTGAAGAAACCAGAGGAGCAGAGATGATGAACAAAGAGAGCTCCAGTCAGAGAGTGACCAATCTCATAGTGAGATGACCAGAAGTAGAGAGAAGAGACAGAAGAAGAGACCAGATGAGAGTACCAAGAGAGAGGACCAGAAGAGAACGAGGAGAAACAATCCAGACGAGAACCAGAGAGAGACCAGAGAGAGACCAGAGAGAGAGACAGAGAGAGACCAGAGAGAGACCAGAGAGAGACCAGAGAGAGACCAGAGAGAGAGAGAGAGAGAGCAGAGAGAGACCAGAGAGAGACCAGAGAGAGACGAGAGACAGAGAGAGACCAGAGAGAGAGACCAGAGAGAGACCAGAGAGAGACCAGAGAGAGAGACAAGAGAGACAGTGAGAAACGACCAGAGAGAGAGACAAGAGAGACAGTGAGAAAGACCAGAGAGAGAGACCAAGGAGAGACAGTAGAGATAGACCAGAGAGAGAGACAAGAGAGACAGTGAGAAAGACCAGAGAGAGAGACAAGAGAGACCAGTGAGAAGACCAGGTCAGAGAGAGACCAGAGAGAGACAAGTGAGAAAGACCAGAGAGAGAGACCAGAGAGAGAGAGAGAAACGAGAGAGTGAGAGAAGAGACCAGAGTGA